TCTGGCAGGGTCCCCTCCGCGGCCGCCCCCCGCCCACGGGCCGCCCCCCGGGCCCTGCGTCCCCTCCCCCGCTGGCGGGGCCCGGACAGAAGATGGTGCAGAAGAAAACAGCCGAACTTCAGGGCTTCCACCGTTCGTTCAAGGTGAGGACCAGATCGGTTTGGGGGGTGCCCCGGGCTGGACCACCCGAGTGGCCGGTGGGGTTCGCACAGCCCGCCCTGAGGGTCCGCCAGAGCTCGTGCCCACCCCCTGCCCTGTTCCTGGAGCTTTCCCGGCCGTGTGCGCGCCAGCGGGGTATCAGCGGCTCACAGTCTAGTTCATTTCCAGCGCCTGAGGGCCCATGGGGGCTTTCCTCCAGGAACCCCAGGTGGGCTGGGGGCATCCTGCCAGCGTGTCCTCTGCAAACCCCAGCCGATGTACAGTGCTGGGGGTTGAGCAGGCCTCACTCCTGGCTCCAGTTCCCTGAGAAGGGTCTTACTCCGGGTACTGCAAGCCGGGATTCAGACCACCTCATGTCTTAGGCAGTGGGCAGAATGGGAGAGTTGATTAGATGCACCCCCAACCCTATATCTCCCAGACGTCCCCGGCCCAAGCACTGTTTCCTGTCAGAATGGGAAGTTTCTGCAGTGGCCTCCCAGCTTCCGAGTCTTGGACTCAGATGAACAAGTCTGGGGCGGTCAGGCAGGTGCTGGGTAGGGGCCCCATGGGGCCTGGCCTAGGGGACGCGGTGATGTCAGCGGTGCCCCACCCCGCCTGCCGCGTTATGTAATGGCTGCCCTGGGCTTCCTTGGACAGGGACCTGTTGCCCTGTAGAGGAGGCAGGACCTGGGGGGGCTGGGGAGCACCAAGGTAGGAAGAGCCAGCTGAGACTGTTGGGGGTAGAATTCTCAGGCCTCTCCAGCCAGGCTCCAGCCCACCCACACGCCTGTCATCCTGGCTGCCCCTTGGTATCCAGGTGTCTGAGGGGGTGGACAGGAGACATCACTGGCGGTGGTCTGTCACCCCCTGGGGCTGCGCCTGAGCTGAGACAGGGTCAGTGCGCAGGGCCCGCTCTGTGGCCAAAGCAAACTCAAACTTTCTGGATGGTTCCAGCCATCTCCTGCCAAGGCCTGCTGACTGGAGGCCCACAGCCAGCCCTGGGCCTGGCCCGCCCACACTGCTCAGGTCTGAAGGCTGGGCTTTGCAGGCTCCCCGACAGCCGAGGTGGTGCTGCGGGGGTTCCAGGGCAGGGGAGTGATGCTGGACAGGGAATCCTGGCTCCAAGGAGGCTTTCAGGGTCCAGCTCTTCTGTGTCAGGGGCTTGGCCCGGCGTGTTGGGGCAGCGAGGGGGCCCACGAGTTTAAAGCAGCTTTCTTACGTCGACGCTTCATCTTAATCACCTCTTTTTGTAGCCACCGTGGGGGTTCCTCCTCCCAGGTGGAAGGCCGGAGCCTTATCAGAGCTCTGGTTGCTGTCCCCATGGGGCCAGACCCCTCAGTGGGCAGGGGCAGGGCAGGGGCAGGGCGGGTGGACAAGTGCTCCCTTCCTCCCCTCCCTGCCCTCCTGGGCCTCCTGGCGACTATCTGCCTCTGCTGGGGAGGGTGGGGAGGGTGGGGAGGCCGGGGAGGCCCGCCCGTGCCTGTCTTCACGCCTCTTTCTCTGACCTCCGCCCAGCAGAGCAGGCCCCTCTAGTTCTCCACAGCTATTCCGGAGGTCTCTCTGTGGGATATTTTCCTGCCAGAGCCCCAGCCTCAGCTGTCACAAGGCCCAGAATGGGGCAATGACTTGGCCCAGGCCACCCAGCATCAGCGCTGGCACCACCACTGCGTGCAGGCCCCTCATGCCCACCAGGGACCCGGCGCCTGGTCTGCCAGGGTAGGGGAGTTAACTCCGAGCTAACTCCTAAGGGGTCTGGCCGGGCCTCTGTCCCAGCCTCAAAGGCCTCGGCCTCGTGCAAGGCTGCTGCCAGCCCTCCCAGGGGGTCTTCTTTACAGAATGCTGTTCTTCCTGGCATTCTCCTGTTTTCGGGGTATAGGGGGTTTTTCCTGCCCCCAGCCGCCTGCTTTCCCTGGGCAGGGTCTGGCACCCTCGCTCTGGTCTTGGGGGCTGCCCGGTGACCTTGAGCTGGCCTCCTCCCCAACAGGGCTGGGTTCTTTGCTGGGCGCTGAGTCTTTGAGGGGCATTCTCTTGGGGGTTTATGGGGGGTGGCCAGGACAGTGTAGGCTGTGGCCTGGGCAGAGGGCGACCCAGCATGCACACAGGAGCTGTGGACACCTCTCCTGTGAGTCTCCAGGAGACATGGTGGGACAGGAAAGGCAACAGCGCAAGGCCAGGCGAGCGGTCGCCCCATTCCACAGAGGGGAAACTGAGGTAGAAAGGCATGGGCCTTGCACAGGTGGGGCTGAGCCCGAGAGGCTGTGGGAGAGCAGGCTGGGCAGCCGGCCGGGAGCCCCACCCTGGAGCCGGTGACTCACCCCCTCTGCCGGCTCCGTGCCTTTGATCCCCAGCTGGCTGTCCCCATTCTGCAGGTGAGCAGACTGAGGTGTCCACAGTGATTCACCCCTATCCCCACACTGTCATACCCCATTTCTGGAGGCCCCCAGTACCTTGGCCTGTGGGTTTAAGGTCCAGCTCTTCAGAATCGGGGAAAGCCAGGCTTCCTCTCTCTCGGCATAGGGATATGGGCATGTCACCGCAGTGGGACCGCCCTGGCAGCCACAGGGCCTGAGCGCTCTCCTTCTCTCCCCTGCAGGGGCAGAGTCCTTTCGAGCTGGCCTTCTCCCTAGAACAGGCCCACCCCGGGGAGACCACCTTCAGCCTGGAGTGCCCAGCCCGTCCTGGTGAGGGGCCTGGCGGGGTGGGGTGGGGGAAAGGGGGGCGCCCAGAGCCTCACAGCTGGCCTCACATCTGGGCCCTGGTGCAGACATGCCCACGAGCCAGCCCATCGACATCCCGGACGCCAAGAAGAGGGGCAAGAAGAAGAAGCGGTGCCGGGCCACGGACAGCTTCTCGGGCAGGTTCGAAGGTGAGCGGGGCAGGCGGGGCCAAGGGCGGCTGGGAGGTGACAGGGCCACCCAGGCGGCTCTGACCACCCCCCTGCTCCCCAGATGTCTACCAGCTGCAGGAAGACGTGCTCGGGGAGGGTGCCCACGCCCGTGTGCAGACGTGTGTCAACCTTATCACCAACCAGGAGTACGCCGTCAAGGTGAGTTTGGCACTGTCCCCTGTCTCCTGGGGTCTGGTGCTGCCCGGGGTGGTGAGAGGAAGGGAGCTGGCGTTCAGGCTCCTGGACTAGCAACTGTGGAAAACCAGCGTCTAAAAATGGCCCGGGCCCAGTGACCCAGGCTGCCCCGAGGAATCCCGTCACCCTGGGCTGCGTCCCCAAGTCTAGGCAAGGCCGTGAAGTGACCATGAGGGCCAGCCCCTTGTGCAGGTGGCCAGGGACCTGGTGCCAGAGCGTCTGCTGAGAGCGGGGCTTTGATGAGCCGATGCTCCCCCACGTGGGTTACTGGATGGAAAGGCCACGCCACACTCGGGGTCCAAGGGGCTCAGCGTGGGGGAGACTAGGACAAGCCCAAGAGCCCCTGTGAAGCCCCCATGTGGTCTGGCCAGGCGGGCAGGCCGAGCACTCTGAGAGGCCTCCAGGCTCCCCCACCCTGCCCCTGGGCTGAGGGGCACAGGTGCTCCCTGTTGAGTGGGGCTGGCCAGAAGCCTCAGACCCTGGTGGAAGTCCAGTGACAAAAGCAGCCATGGTCCCACTTCCAAGGGGTAGCAGGGCGAGGGTGCTCGGGGGTTGGGCGCTGAGCGTCGAGCGCTTGCACACCAAGCATATAGCTGAGCGCGCTCCTCCAAGGGACCCTGCTGGGCGGCCTGTAGTCTCTTACTCTGCGACAGACAGGGAACGAATGCTCGGCGGGGTGGGCAGCCCGAGTCACACTGCGGGACCTCCAGAGGGGCCGGTTGTCCCTCTGCCGCCTTCTCCATGGAGTGGAGTCCTAGCCAGCTTCCCAAGGGACAGGATGAGGTTCAGTTTACTCCAGAGGGATGGGCCTGGTGGCGTGGTCTCCAGAGGCCTTGGAACCTGGTTGCTATGGCCCTCTTTGGGACAGGTGCTCGGCACTGGACGTATGGAACAGCGTACAGGTCCAGGTCTTGCGTGCCTGCTGCAGGATCATGGCCCATGGGGCACCTCGTCCCCATCCCCAGGCCACGCGCGGTAGGGGACAGCCTGCCCACCCGCCTAGTGAGGTGGGCCCCAGGGGGGCCCAGCAAGAGCTGGACGGCCCCTTCTAAGTGCACCTTTCTGTGAGCAAAGGTGGCCAGGGTCACATGGGGTGAATGGGCCCAGACCCTTGAGTCCGTAATGGTCCCGGGTGCCATAGGGATGTAGGTGCAGAGGTGCGGGCTAGCTTTCTGAGGGTCTGGGAGGCTGTGTCTGCTGGTGGGCGAGGGGCCAGTCTGGGCTGGCCTGAAACACCCTGGCTCACGGGCCTGGGGACATGTATCCAGACTGGTGTGGAGCTGGGCAGACAGGGACGGCTCGGCTGACAGCCAGGTTCCCTGCGGCCCCTCCAGTCCCCTGGGAGGTGTGGGAGCCAGCACAGTGGCCACCGGTCTCCTGGTCGAGGGGATGCAGGCGGAGAGAAACTGCCCAGCCCAACGGACCCTGAAATCTGAAGGGGTGTTTAGTGGGGGCCCCAGGCCCCAAATAGACCCCGATGCCTGTCCGGTCACTGGCGGAGGGGGCCTGGCTCCTCGTCACCGCCTTTCCCACTGAACTCGTCCCTCCCTGGTGCTGCTTGGGAAACCCGTCGCCCCAGCTTGTGCTGGCGCAGCAGCTCGACTTCTGGCAAATTCTGGGTCCCCACAGGAGCACTCTCCCTTCCGGTTCAGAGGGCTCCACTCCCGCAGAGCGGCCGGCGCAGGACGGGGACACGTCTCGCGGGGCTCTCGGGTGCTGGCGAGTCTGGTCGACCCCGCGAGTGTAACCTCCGACTCTTTCAGATCATTGAGAAGCAGCCCGGCCACATCCGGAGCCGGGTGTTCCGGGAGGTGGAGATGCTCTACCAGTGCCAGGGACACAGGTAGCACGGCCGCCCCGCCACCTCGCTGGGCCCCAAGCCGCCTCTGGGTGCCTGTCCACCCCCGGCGAGCGTTTCAGGAGCACCCGCTGTGCCAGGCCCTGTGCTGGGTACTGGGGCTTGACCTGTCAGGCCGGTAGTCCGAGCAGGGTGAGGTGGGAGCAGGCCTGGGGACCCGGGTGCAGCCTTCCCGTGGGCAGGTAGGGGTGGGAGGGCAGCCCCTTCTGGCCTGGGCTAGCGCTGGGGCCTCAGGAAGTCTCACTTCTGTCTTGCCCCCCACCCCAGGAACGTTCTAGAGCTGATTGAGTTCTTCGAGGAGGAAGACCGTTTCTACCTGGTGTTTGAGAAGATGCGGGGTGGTACGTGGGGCCTGGGAGACAAGTCAGCTGGGTCCTAAAGGGCCACCAGGGGAGACTTTGCAGAGGGTCATGCATGGCAGAGAGGACTTGTGTAGTCTGAGTGTCTTGTCCACACAACAGCTCTGATTGAAGACTTTGGGCCCAAGGAGGTTGAGTGGGGGCTTCTGTGCCAGGTGGGGTGGGTGCTGAGCTGTGCCCTGGGCATACAGGTGACCCTTACGTCTTCTCTATCCTTCCTCCCCATGGCCAGGCTCCATCCTGAGCCACATCCACAAGCGCCGGCATTTTAACGAGCTGGAGGCCAGCGTGGTGGTGCAGGATGTGGCCAGCGCCCTGGATTTCCTGCACAACAAAGGTGGGTGGTGGGGCTGGCTGCTTTGGGTGCTGCCCACCTCTTGCCAGCTTGCCCAGAGACCCCTGGGGTGCTGGGTGTCCAGCCTTGCTCCCCGGACGCCGGGAAGACGGCCCTCCCCACCCACCGGCCCTCATTCTCCCTGCAGGCATCGCCCACAGGGACCTGAAGCCGGAGAACATTCTCTGTGAGCACCCCAACCAGGTGAGGGGTGCGGCTGGGCACCTGGAGCCAAGCGCAGGCCTGTGGGACCCCCAGGCTCTGGACCCCACCTCACTGCCCCCTCCACGCCCCTGCCAGGTGTCCCCCGTGAAGATCTGTGACTTCGATCTGGGCAGTGGCATCAAGCTCAACGGGGACTGTTCCCCTATTTCCACTCCGGAGCTGCTTACCCCGGTGAGGGCCGTGAGGTCAAGGCCCCCTCCCCCGGTGGGATGTGGGGCGGGGCTGTGGTTGCGGAACCCCAGGTGGCGGGGGTGGCTGCTGCAGCCGTGGAACTGGGGCTTCCGCTTAGCAACAGCCGCGGGTTGGCCGTCCGGGGGCTCCCGGCACCT